GTCTTGAGGCTCAAGTGGCCCGAATTCAAAACGACATCATTTCGAATTTTTTTTTTTTCCCCTCTTTTATCTGTGAAACGAAACAGAGATCTGTAAAACGAAACAGAGGGGGAGAGAACGAGAGAGAAGAGAGAGGAAAAGAGAAAAAAGAGAGAAAATGGAGGGAGAGTCGATCTTCTCATGTCGTCGCCGTCGACATCGCCGCCGTTGCCTCTTCCTCTTCCGTCACTGCTGCGACCACCACTGTCACCGCTACGCCACTCTGTCACCACCACTGTGTGTGTGTATGTGTATGTGTTTCATGGATTTGGCTTCTAGATCTGTATGTGTGTGGGAGGGGTGTGGATGTGGATTTGATTTGTGGGTGGCTTTTGATTTTTCGTGTGTATAGAGGGGAACGGGGTTTGATTTGTGTGTTTCATGGATTTTCTAGATCTGTATATATTTTCCAGCTCTTCTCTTTTCTTCTCTTCTTCTTCTTCTGCGAGTTATGAAATGAAAAAAAAAAAGATCAGCCAAAACGACGTCGTTTTGGAATTTTGAGCCATTCGAGCTTCTAATTTTTCCAGCTACTTAGTGGGACTCAAATTTTTTTTGACAACTATAAACCAAACAGAGTGCAGTACTTATATATGTTATGTTCAAATGCTTATTTGATTAGGAGGTTCCCTCAAGTTTATAATTTTGATTGGAGGGTGTTATTTGAATCATAGAACTCACCACTCGTCTCATTTTGATAATTAGAATGATTTATTTTCTTAAACACTTTGCATGTTTCATCTACAAAAAAAAACTAGGTTGATCTGATAATCATAATCTATTTAATTTATTGCAGTTATCACCCAAAAAAAAATTAATAGCTTATTTTTAAAAACATAATTGTCATTTTTTTTTTTCATAACAAATGTGATAAATTAAATAAGTTACGATTTTTTTTAATAAAAGATATGAAACGTCCAATAAAATTAACGGTTCGAATAACCAACATGCAACTCATGATGAACACACCCATACAAACTAGAGATGGCAATCAGAACCCAACCCGACGGGGACCCGATCCCCCAACCCCAAATTGAGCAGTTATTCCTCGAAAAGTACCCCCGATGGGTCACGGATGGTATTAAAAATTGAATCCCCGATGATATTCGGGCCGGGGACGAGAATACATGTTTCAACCCCGGACTTAGCCCAACACCGGCCCCGATCCTCGCCCCGTTTGCCCCCCGACGTGAAATTACTATTTTGCCCCTGTTTATATATAACATATGTGTGTGCGTGTAGGGTTTTGGCTGAACACTCACACACAACACAAACACAAAGCCGTCTCTCTCTGCTCCTACTCTCTCTCTCTAGGGTTTCGCCTTCCCCTCTTTCTCTTTCACACAACGACGGCGCCGATCCTTCCTTACTGCCGCTCATACGTCACTGTCGATCCTCCTCCCTCACTGCCGCTGCTGGTTAGAGTTTCGCCTCCCTCTCTCTCTCTCACATACGACGGCTGCTACTCCCTCACCGCTAATTTTCAAAGGGTATATCTCTCTCTCTCTCTCTCTCTCGTGATTTCGATATAGGGTTTACATACATACATACATACATACATACATACATACATACATATATGTGTGTGTGTGTATATAGTATCTCTCTCTCAAGGGATTTCGACCTTTGTTTTTTTTTCTCTAAATTTATTTATTTTAAATATATATATATATATATATATATGATCTGGTTTTTTTTATCTGTTATCTATTAAATAAATATATATATATATATATATAGAGAGAGAGAGAGAGAGTTCTGGTTAAATAAATATAGAGTTCTGGTTAAATATATAGAGAGAGTTCTTGATCTGTTAAAATATATATATATATATATATCACTTGAGTTTATGTCATGGATTTCAAAGTTATGGGACTTGATATTTTAGTTCAGTTATTTTTTTATTATTATATTTCAAGCCTGATGATGATGTTGAGAAATTAGCCAAATTGAATATGGAAATCGAAACCATGGGTTTAAACTGCAATATTGGCCAGTATAATATTGTAGTTGTGTTGACTTTTGTCATCTATTATCTTTCATTTTTGCTCACTACTGACATTTGGTTTGTTATATTCTGTGTGTAGAAAGAAACACAACTAGGATTGGCTACACAATCTGCTCATCCAGGTATTTTCTCTTTATTGATTGTGGCTTCTAAGTGTATTTTACTACTTCTGGTGTGTTCTAAAGTCAAAATTATGTGAGGATTTGTTTTTTTTTTAAAAGAATTCTCGACCTTCATCATTCTATTGAGAGAGAGACCTATTTTGACTTGATTTGGAAAAATTCACGAACATTCATTGCTGGTTAAATCTTGCACATATCTGTTTGTTTGTTTTTTTTAATTGTGACCTGAGGCTGAAATTTCGAGAGAGTGTAGTTTATTGGACAGCAACACTAAAAAGATAAGAAAATTTTGAAGAAACAGTCAACCAATTGCGTATTCCACATACTAAGAAATTAGGACTTGCTTGTGCAACTAGGTGGAATTCAACCTACTTGATGCTTCAGACAGCCTTATTGTATAAGGATGTCTTTTCTCAATTGAAAATTAGAGAGCCCCAATATAAGACTGTGCCAAGTGAGCAAGAATGGGAGTTTGCTAGAGAGATTAGTAAGAGGTTTGAGATTTTTTTTTCTATCACAGAGTTATTTTCTAGTACTAAGTATCACACAGCCAGTGTTTGTTTCCCAGCTTTATGTGAGATTAGGATGACACAGTCTCAATGGCTCTCTTGTGAAATTGAAGTGATTAGAACAATGGCATCAAAAATGGTGGAAATTTTTGATAAATATTGGTTAGTAATACATGATGTTATTGGAGTTGCTGTTGTACTTGATCCTAGATATAAGATGAGTGTATTGGAGTTTTATTTTAAAAAACTTTATGCAGACAAAGTTGAAGATAAAGTTGATAGGGTTCGTTAGATTTGTTATGATTTGTTGCAAGAATATTAGCACCGAGTTGGTATGGAGATCGATATTGTTGGTGACTCTTCTACTCATCCGGAAATTATTACAAAGACCTTTTCAGAATTTAATTTGTTTATTAGTAGAAAGAGAAGTAAAAAAAAATAAAGAATGTAAGATCAGAGTTGAACTATTATCTAGAAGATGATGTTTTGCCAAGAACTTCAGGTTTTGATGTTTTGAATTGGTAGAAAGCTAATGGATCAAAGTATCCGACCTTACAGGCAATAGTTAGGGACATTTTAGCTATTCATGTATCCACTGCAGCTTCTGAGTCAGCATTAGTACTAGTGGAAGGTTGGTGAGTCCACATCGTAGTAGACTTCATCCAAACACATTAGAAGCATTAATGTGTGCACAAAGTTGGTTGTGGGATGCAGAGATGAAAGGTACTCATATTATTATTTCATCCAATCTACATATTATTATTTCACTTTTATATTACCATGGAATAATTTCAATACTGAATTTATATTCTTTATTTTTTAGGAAATTCAACATTGGAATCGGTGAGCTATGCGACGATATATGATGATGATGAAATCGACTTGGATGAGTCATGTGTCACTTTTGTGTTAATTGTCATCTTTTTTGTTTTAATTGTTAACATTTTTTACATCTTATTATTAGTATTAATTATTTATTTTTTTTCCTTTTGTTATTTAATAGGAATTCAAGTTGAAGGAGATGATGAAAGTTGTGGTGTGGTTTGTATGAGTATTGAAGAAACAATGGATTTGGTATTTTATATTGCAATGGATTTTTTTTTTTTTTAATTTTAATTTTTGGGTAGCCTATCCCTTGCAGGTTGTGCTTGGGACTAATTATTCTCTTTGCAACTTGTTGAATTTTCTTTTGTGTGTGGGCTGCTGGACAAATGTTGTTTTGTTGTTTGTGCTATTTTGTTGAACAGCATTTAGTACTAGTGGAAGGTTGGTGAGTCCACATCGTAGTAGACTTCATCCAAACACATTAGAAGCATTAATGTGTGCACAAAGTTGGTTGTGGAGTGCAGAGATGAAAGGTACTCATATTATTATTTCATCCAATCTACATATTATTATTTCACTTTTATATTACCATGAAATAATTTCAATACTGAATTTATATTCTTTATTTTTTAGGAAATTCAACATTGGAATCGGTGAGCTATGTGACGATATATGATGATGATGAAATCAACTTGGATGAGTCATGTGTCACTTTTGTGTTAATTGTCATCTTTTTTATTTTAATTATTAACATTTTTTACATCTTATTATTAGTATTAATTATTTTTTTTTTTTTCCTTTTGCTATTTAATAGGAATTCAAGTTGAAGGAGATGATGAAAGTTGTGGTGTGGTTTGTATGAGTATTGAAGAAACAATGGATTTGGTATTTTATATTGCAATGGATTTTTTTTTTTTTTAATTTTAATTTTTGGGTAGCCTATCCCTTGCGGGTTGTGCTTGGGACTAATTATTCTCTTTGCAACTTGTTGAATTTTCTTTTGTGTGTGGGCTGCTGGACAAATGTTGTTTTGTTGTTTGTGCTATTTTGTGGAACAGGATGCTATTCTCTGTTGGACAGATTTATTAAATATTTGACAGATGCTATTTTGTTGTTTAGGATATATTGATTTGAATAGGATGCTATTCTGCTGGACAGAGTTATTGAGTAGTATTTATAGATGTTATTTTGTTCTTTACAGATAGAAAATGTGTTGACAAATATGTTTGAATTAGATGTTTATAGATTTTTTTTAATTGGCAAATATGTTGACAAATATATTTCAATAAGATGATTAAAATTTTTACAGATCAAAAAAAAAACCAAAAAAATCTCAGAAAAAAAAATCAGGGATTTTTTGGAGGCGGGCGATGGGTCCCCATCGGAGATCGGGAACGGGAAGTGTAGTCCCCAACCCTGCCCGCCCTGCCTCACCCCATTGTCATTCCTAGTACAGACAACGCCATTAAGCCTGAATAAGCAGGAGAATATATATACCTGAATAAGCAGCAAAGGGGCGCTAAGGATCTCACTGGAGCCAGGGACATCGTAGAGAATCTGATTTAAGAATCGGTAAGGAGGGAAAAGTGCTTCAGCCTCAACAAAATCCTGAAACCTAATATCAGCATCAGCCTCAACGAACCACACGCCTTGGCCGGCACACTCCACGATGAGCTTCCCATCAGGGCCTTCTTCCTTCAGGCGACCGGCAAGTGGGTAATAGAAGACAAGTGTCTGTGCCAATGCCTCTCTGATCACCTTCACTGGGTCTCTCTTTCCACCCAGTGATGGGCTGTTTCGATAAAACATTATTGCTGGGAGGTGACACCGGAGGACTTTTTGGTCATCCATGTCAGATAGCTCTTTGATTTCATGAGGTGTTGGCTTTGCTGGGGTTACCAGCTCTGGTTTTTGCGTTGTTACTGTGAACACCAAAGGGCTTGGTATTGGCAATGCCATAACTGAAGATATATTCAACTTGCACACAAAAGTGGAAGAAGGGTATGGGTGTACTACATTCTTGATGCTCCTATTTATACACATATTGACATGCTTTACAAATTCAGGAAGAAAAAAAAAATCAGAAATTTACATTTTTAGAAGTAAAATTACTGATTAAATTTGAATAATCTAATTTATCTAAAATAAATCATTTTCAAGAAATAATATAACGAATTCGTTCAATCTTTTTCATAACATTATTTATTCAATTCAAATTTAAATAAATTCAACTTACTACATATATATATATATATATATATACTGCTGTATGCTCGTGCCTAAAGGTACTGAGAAAATATAAATACTAGTGTATGCCCATGCCTGAACTTACTACATTGGATGTTTGCTTGGTTCCATTTTTTCAAAAACACTTTTCAAAAAATTCTATTCTCTTATTTTTCATATTTTTTTGTTTTACTGAATTTTTTTAATATTTTAAGCAACTTTTTTACTTTTAAACATACCTAACATAAATACATCTAAAAAGTAAAAAAATTATAAAAAAAAAAATCTTTTAAAAATTCACTAAATACCAAAAATACAAAAAAAAAATACAAGAATTTAGTACATTTTTTGTATTTCTATGTATTTATTAATTTTTAAAAATATTTTTTCACAAATTTTTTACTTTTTAGATATATCTAAGTAAGGTGCATCTAAAAAAATATAAAAAAAAATGTTTAAAAATTTTAAAATATTCACTAAAATAAAAAAAACACGAAAACCAAAAAACTTAGGGCCTGTTTGGTAACACTTACGTTTTCAGTTTATATTTATAAAAATTTTATAAACTGACTTTTGTTTATTTTTAGAAAAACATAAACTACAAACGCGTTTAGTTTGGACAAAATGTTTGAAAATTTTAAAAAATATAAACTAAAAGAGTGAGTGGTGGCGAGTGGTGATGTGATAGGTGGTGGGTGGTGACGAGTGGTGGCGGATGGTGGCAACAGAAGACGGTAGTGGCAGGTGGGTGGCGATGGAAGACGGTAGTAATGGGTGTTGGCGGGTGGTGGTGACGAAAGACGATGATGGCTGGTGACGGGTGATGGATAATAGCGGTAGGTGGTGCGTGGTGGCGGCAAAAGACAGTGATAGAGGGTGGTGACGGAAGACAGTGGTGGAAAGTGGTGGCAGGTGGTGGTGGCGGAAGACAATGGTGGAAAGTGGTAGCAGGTGGTGGCAGCGAAAGACGGTGGTAGAAAGTGATGGTAGATGGTGGCAGGTGGTGGTAGGTGGCGAGTGGTGGCTGGTGCTGGCGGAAGACGGTGGTGGAAAATGGTGACAGGTGACTGGTGGTGGCGGTGGAAGATGGTGGTGGAAAGTGGCGGCAGGTGGTGGCGGGTGGCGGCAGGGTGGCGACAAAGGAAGATGGTGGTGGTGGAAAGTGGCAGCGGCAGACGGTGGTGGTGACGAAAGATGGTGGTAGGTGTTGGCAGCAGAAGACGGTAGTCAGTTTATATTTACAAAAATTTTATAAACTGGTTTTTGTTTATTTTTAGAAAAACATAAACTACAAACGCGTTTGGTTTAGACAAAATATTTTAAAAAATTTAAAAATATAAAAAAGAGTGAGAAATGGCAAGTGGTGGCGGGTGGTGGGTGATGACGAGTGGTGGTGGCAGAAGACGGTGGTAGAAAATGATGGCGGGTGGTGGTGGTGGAAGGCGGTGGTGGAAAATGGTGGCAGGTGGTGGCGAGTGGTGGGGGGTCAAAAAAAAACTGAAAACTGAAAATGTAAACTCATTTTTTGAGTTTACAAATTTTGGCCAAATTTATAAACTGAGACCACTGATTTATAAACCAAAATATTTACCAAACAAGTTTTTATGACATTTTTTTTAATTTTTGTAAATATAAACTGAAAATTGAAAATGTAAGTGTTACCAATCGCCACCTTAGTATTTAAAAAACTTAATTCAGAAAATTCAAACCGAACACACTGAATAATTTTTTATTTTTATTTTTTTGTGTATAAAACATGCATTAAGAATCTTAAATATCATTAATTCATTCAAGCTGTTGGCAAGATAATAATTAATTATTAATCAAAGCTAAACTTTTTTTTAATTAAAAAAAATAATCATGTCGGGATACCATGGTCCGGGGCATGTGAAAAAACTTCGGCGGCTTTTGCGGTTAGTGGCCTAATCCACATGCCAATGAAATTCGTCTCTTTTTTATGTACTTTTCCGTAAAAAATGTTTTTTATCTAATTTATATCTAATTAATTGATTAATTAATTTGATGCATCATCAACATTTAATTAATCATTGGGAACATGAATATATTAGAAATATTGTATGATGCTACCACCCATAAGCCAATCTTGTTTGAATAATTTAAGGTATTATTAAATTTTAGGAAAAATTATCCAAAAAAAAAAAAAAAAAAACTTAGAATTTAATACTTGTAACAAAATAAACTGAGTTTGTAATTTTATCAATTTAAATTTCTGATTTATTTTCAATTTAAACAATTTGCATATTTTCAATCTAAACAAAATAAACTATTTGCATATTTTACTAAATAATAAATAATAAATAAATACCATCAGCAATCCAAGCGATTTGTCGATGGAAAGAAATAGCCATCAGTCATTTGCGGAGTCTGTCTTTCACATTTTTTTTGCATTCCTATTAAAAAAAATAATAATATCTCAATACAATTTGAATAGCACATAAAATAAATAAAGATGTGATAGTAGCCAAATATTTGAATGCGCAGCACAATCAAAAAAACCCACCACTATCACTTTCCTTACTCTGTTTCTTTTCAATTTCTTTTTAACTGAGATGAAGAAATAGTTCATGAATTATGAGTGAAAATTTAAATTGGGTTATAAAAATAAAATAAAATAAAAATAATGACCCGTGAGAGACATGTAGGTTGATGAAAAAATAAATAAAAAAGAAAATGTTGAAATATTTAAAAAGTGTTGTGCAGTTCACTTCCAAAAGTAACCAAGCTCTTCTTTTCAACAGCCCACACAAACCAATGTCAAGACTCACGCTTGACAATACAAAAAGAAAAACAAATATATATCCGTTTAAGGTTTAGAAACACCAACCCAAATAAATTGAAAGGTGCATAACTAAAAAACGAAAAAGAAACAGAACACCAAAAAAAAAAAAAAGAGAAACCCAAATACATATCAGTTTAAGGTTTAGAAACACAAATCCAACACAAACACATCAATTTAAGGTTTAGAAAAACAAATACAAATCCAAATCTTATAAACATAAACCCAAATTGATGTGTCTCTTTTGCTTTGTTTCCAACTTTTTCTGTGGTTCCATTGAATGCATACCTAATCACACAAACCCAAACATAAATCGAAACATAAAAGGTTTAGAAAAATAAATATTACAAACACAAACACAAACTAAAACTGAAACTGAAATCTTAAAAACACAACCTAATCAACAAAAAAAAAAATCACACAAATCCAACACAATGAAACATTTCAATGAAATGATGAAACATTGAAAACCATCTCTCTTTCTTTTCTCTCTCTAAAACCCTCTTACCCTTTGAACTTCTTATTTATTGCTTATGCTTATTATCTATGAGTTTGTTGGTGAAAGTGTAGTATTAGTTCCATAATGTCACTGAAGGTGTTGGGTCCCTTTAAGAATGCAAAATTATTTTGTTGTTAGAATGTATTAACATATGTTTTTATCTTTATTTTGTTCATTATTTTTTTGTTTCCTTCTTAATTTTGTTTATTAATTTATTCTCTGTTCTAGTTCATGATTATCTCCAATACTACTTTGGCCACATGACTTTTTGCTCTGACGTTTACATGTTTGCCAAGGACATTCTTTGGTGATGCTTTTGCATTCTTTCAATCATCTAACCTTAATGCAGGCTGTTAGTAATATAATATGTATTATACTTTTAGATAGTGTAGCATTAGTAATATAGTATGTAGAATTAGATAGTGCAGCATTTGCTTAAGGAAGTGCATTTGCTTTCGGTTGCTTTCGGTCATGAGCCATCATGAATTGTCCATTATCAGTTGTCCATTGTCTGTAAATCTTTTCCTATATAAAGAGTCCCTAACCATTATTAATAATAAAACAACATACACAATTTATTATCTCTCTCTACCAACCATTGTTTCATCTACTATCGTTTCATGGTATTAGAGTGCAGTTCTACACTTCTGGCCTTTTCTATTTTTGGTGCTTAGTCCTGTACACTGTGGCACTACACCAACCTGCTCGGAATCACCTCACGATTCCAACGGCACCACCCTCATCACCAGAAACGCCTCCACACGCCGTCACACGCCACCTTTGTGTTCGGCGCATCTCAGCTTCCGCCACCATTCTCACACGCGCCCCTCTGTTGCTTGCTCACGTCAGCATCTAGTAGCCTATTTCCTAGCTATTTTCGACCTTTCAAATTCACTGGTACACTTTGTTTTACCTGATTTTGCTCCTACAGGTCTGTTCCTATTTATTTAGTCCTACTCCACTATTATTATGGATCGCCATGATGCCTCCCATCCGATTTCTGTTCTTCTTAATGATTCCAATTATGTTATGTGGGCCCAAGCCATGTCATCCTTCCTCAAAGGTAAGAAGCTCTAGCGCATTATCACCGGGGATGTGACCCAACCGGTGAAAGAGGTCGATGAAACTGCTGCTACATATGAAGGCCGACTCGAAGATTAGGATAGTAAGAACTACCAAATCATTACTTGGCTTCGGAATACCTTTGTTCCCTCTATTAGTCTTCAATTTGGTCGTTTTCAGCTTGAATTTGTTACCACTCCTGCTAAAGACATTTGGGATTTTTTGAAAGAACAATACCAGACTACCGGTCTTGCCCATCAGTATCAACTTCAGAGTCAACTTCACCGTATGCACCAAGAATCCAATCAATCTATTAATGATTTTCTTTCTCAGATGTATTCTGTTTGGAACCAACTTGCTCTCTCCGAACTAACATGGCCTCACCTTGAAGATGTTATTTTATTTACTACATATC